GGTGGCAGGGGTGGTGGTGGCGGGGGCAGCTGAGATGCAAACAGAATGCTACCTGACGAAGTAGAGACACTAGTTTATGAAACAGCTAATCTTAGTGATAGTTTCTAGTCAGTGGAAGCTTTTTTCCTCCACAGCTTATTTTGTGATGACAAGTATTCAGTAACCAAGTAATTTTTACATTGAACCAAATGGCCCAAACAGAACCATAACAGGGGTGTGGGAGTAGGAGCTTCATTTAAAGGTTAATACAGGGAAGCTACAACCACCCAAACTCCACACATGCCACCTGTATCATTTTTCCCTCCCATTCTTTGCATGTGCAAGCTACCCTGGATAAGGCGGGACATTAGGCATGTTTTATGCATTAAACAAGTCACCCCTTCAAAAGATCTTTTTTTTTTTTTTTGGAAAAAAAACAAAAAAACAAAAAAACAACCTTATTTCAATGTCAGTTTCTTATTCCTATCAAAGGGGTGATAATGCATTTAGCACTAAACAAAAGTATGAATAGTCAACAGACGAATCCATTTCAATCTAGAACTGAGAAGGCAAAACAGTTACATGCAAATAACTCCCATTAACTCACTAGGCTGCCAGGAGCACTGCTGGAGAACTGTAAGGCCAAGTCTGGGTCTGGTTGGAATGAATGTTCTGATCAATTAGTCATGTCTGCAGAGGGCATGGAGTAGCAGAATAGCACATGCCCCAGATATCTGCCATCGAGACACACAAGCATGAGGACAGATCAAACCTATTTTCACAAAGCTGCTCTCCTCTGTCTTTGTTCCAACTACAGATGAAATAAGGCTGGGCTTTGCAGTTAAACGTACGAAAGGAAAGGCTCTGATTCTGGCAACTGTGCTTGTTGGAGTGTAGAAAGCAAGTGACTGGCTGACTTAACTACCACCAACCAAACCCACTGCCACTGAGTTGACTGCAACTCACAGCAACCCTATAAGGACAGAGTAAAACTGCCCCATAGGGTTTCCAAGGCTGTAAATCCTTACGGAAGCAGACTGTCACATCTTTTGCTCGAGGAGTGGCTGGTGGGTTCGAAGTGCTGACTTCACCATTCGCAGCTGAGTGCTTTAATCATTGTGCCACTAGGGCTCCAACTAACTACAAGGAAAGAAAAAATAACAAGGCTACACTGGACTTTGAACATAAAAAATGCTGGTTTATGTCTTGTGCAGCCCATGATGAACACAGGAACATAGAAAGGTGACAGTCCCCTGACAAATGAACAGAGGAAAGCGCTGCCATTATCATCTACTTAAGACACAACTGTTGTTGGCCTGAAACAGTTTTAATTTCTTAGATAATTTAAGTTCACTTGCTAAATTAAATTTGGCTTTGTATTTTTCATCTGTGTAAAAGTCACTTTTATTTCTTTTTTTTTTAAACTGATTGTTACCATTAAGATTACAAAGTACATCACATTTTGTTTCAGTTTTGTTCATGTTTGCACACACACACAAACTCACAGTGGTCAGATATCAATAACTTTAAACACCGTATTAACATTAAGCTGAAGCTTCAAAACTGAAAAAGTTAGAAAATCAATACATTGTCTTTTCATAAAAATTTATGCTTATTATGCTGTTTAAGAAACCAAGGACATGGAAAATAATGAATTAAAAGCATAACTTCTATTTTTTTGGAAGGCACACTTATGTGGACCATTTCCTCCCTGATAACTGGGTTGTTTACTCTGCACGTGTCTCACAGTCATTCACACACAAGCACACACCTGCTCACATGCTGAGACGGCCCTGGGAAGAGCATGACAGCTCCCATCAATGGAGAGAGCTGATACTCAGATCAAGAAAGGTCTTCCCGGTCTACATGCCTTATGCTGTGGACGACACTGGTCATCATCTTTTAAGTCTGTCTTCATGTAAAACACCACCATCCACTCAACAAACACTCAAGACTACGCCAATTATCTACTTCTGATATTCTGATACATGAGGATTACTTTAAATCCTACAACTTTCAAAGATTCACTCCCCTTCCTCTGCTTCACTGTTTGGCCCACAGCCAGGATTTCTAGTGGGGTTTGTTTACTTTATCATACTTGAGGGAGGACAGAATCTATTAGATATATTATTAGGTATCCCTGAACCTTACTGCAAGTATGACAAAGCGATACAGTAGACATACCATGTATTTTATGACATAAAATGTAAAATCTGAAACGTAACTCAGCGAGTTTTCCCGTCGCAGCACAGGGACGATCAGGGTCACGGGCTCCAGTGAGGAGCATGACACCGCACCTGACCTGCTTTCTCTTTCAATACACCTGTTTTTAACATTTTGGTTTTTAACATTTGGTTTTTTCTGGAGTAGAGTTTGGTTAATATTGGTTATTACTTATTAATTAACTATTAATACTGCTGCATAACGTTCCTCTGTTGGAAGCTTTTTTAGTCTTTGGAATAATTTCCTACGGCTAAACTCACAAAATTAGATATTTGGTAAAAGGGTGGGTACATTTTTCTGGCTCTAGCTACATACTGTCACATACCTTGAAAAAACAAGATGAATCGCCTTATAATTTTTACAATGATATCAGCTATGCATAGAGCTGTGAAGATAGCTTTCCAGAACTGTTGTATTATGCCTTGATCATTTGTTTACCAGGGGTTTGGAGTTTCTGCTGGTTAAGTTCCTTTATGTACTTTACATATCATGTTTTTGCCCATCACATTTATTACAAATCTTTTCCTATATTTGCCTTTTTAATGTTCTCTTTCAGTTTCATAAAAGGTCTATATGCTTAAATATTTTTTATCTAGCCATATTACATTTTGTATTTTCTTTCATCATTCCGTAATTAAAGTATTACTTTGCTTCCAAAATGGTAATAATTTTTTTTTTTAACTTTTTCTAGAATAGACTTTTCAATTTCTAAATCCAAAAGGAGTAATATAAATTCTTTTCCCACCTAACTCTTAATTATATCAGATTTCTGTATGGACTCCTCATTTCTCTTCAAAAGGACTCAATTCTATTTTCAAATCATTATTATGCTATTTTAATTATTACTATTAAATTTATACTTACTAGCTGATTTATATTATTCATTTATAATGGACTTTTTGGAAACCCTGGTGGTGTAGTAGTTAAGAGCTACAGCTGCTAACCAAAAGGTCGGCAGATCGAATCCACCAGGTGCTCCTTGTAAACCCTATGGGACAGTTCTAATCTGTCCTATAGGATAGCTATGAGTCGCAATCGACTCAATGGCAACAGGTTTGGTTTGGTTTTGGTTAATGGGCTTTTTCGCTGAACATTGTTCATCTATTTTCTAAATGGATGTCATTAAGTTCTTTAACATATCCTTTAGAATTTTAATTGAAATTGTGCTACAAATTATAAATTTGTACAAATTACCTTAGGAAGGGCTGTCATCTTTACTATACTTAAATCTTTCTATCCATTGCCATCCTTACTTATATTAAGACTTTTCAGTTATTAAAGTATCCCTTTGATTTCTCTCATTATGATGTTGCTGATCTCTACCTAAAGTGTTCTTTATTACTGTCACAGTGGACGACTATCTGCAAAGATGATGGCCAATAATTCCTCCCATCATGTATGCACAGGCCACTCCTCCTATCAAGAGGTGCAGTCTATTTCCTCACCTGTGATTCACTTTAATCACCTTATGATTTGCTTTAATCAACAGAATGCAGCGGAAATAATGTTCTAGAACCTTGAAGACCAGGCCTTATGAGATTTTGTAGCTTTTGCTCTTCTGGTTCTCTAAGCTGCTATGTGAAGAATAATCCTGCTGAAGATGGAGGTCCATCCAGACCCCAACTGTTTCGGCCACCCCAGTCACAGACACATAAATGAAGTCACTAGAGTTCTAGCTAAGCTCCAGTTAAATACAGCTGCATGAATGACCCCTGCTGATACCACACAGAGCAGAAGAACCACCCAGCTGAGACTAGTCAGCCAACAGACTCATGAGAAATAACAAAATGTTGTTTTTAGCCATAAATTTTGGAGTAGTTTGTTATATAGAAATAGATCACTAAAAACAAAACACAAAACCAAAACCAAAAATCTATCAACACTTTGAAATGATGCTTATGAAAATGATGCTTATGAAATATAAAACACTAATGAAATATTTTATCTAGCTACTTTATTTTATAATCTTTAACAATTTCTTTTTGATCTTTCATACTTTCTAGATACAGAAGCATATTTATAATTTTTATTTCCAGTATTTATTCTGTATTTCTTTTTCACTGTGTAAATGGCAAGGATCACCAGTATGGAATTAAAGGACACAGTACCAAAGGATACCTTTGTTTAGTTTCTGGATGTAAGGGATCTGCTTGTATACATTTTCCCAACCAGTATTATATAACTATTTGGAATAAAGTAGATATTCTTTGTTAGGCTACAGAGGCGTCACTCAAATCTTAATTTTTACTAGAAACAGGCCCTGGTTCTATTAGATGTACCTTTTTTTAAGGAAATTATAATGTTAAATTACTTCATATATTGTAACTTATTATAATTAATGTTTTAAAAATTAAACCAGTTTAGCATTCCCAAACTCTCACCAATAATAATGAAACTTTTTAATTCACTACTGAATTTCATCTAAGCTTTCTCACATCAGTATTCATGACTGAGATTATCTTATGATTATCTCTTTTTTTTTCTTCACGTTATCAGGAAACTGTCCTATTATGCAATAAGGCTGCTACTGAATTACAAGAAACATTTGTTGTTTGAAACTTTCAGACAATTAACTGTAAACTTACTAGTTTCAGGTGCTACTTGGGAGTTGGGGATATTCCTGGATAACTTTTTCAATGCCATCCCCCTACTTCGGCTTTCAACTTTGCTTTTTAACTCCTTTTTCTTGTAAGAAATATCCAATTATCTTATTTATCAAATTCATTTGTATATATCTACTTGACATTACTTAATTTTTTCTCTTATGCACTGCTGGTTGGTATTAATCTTCTTTCTCATTCTGTTTATTTGTATTTTTTTAAAAATAAAATTTGCTGTTGGTTTATCAACATTCAAAAAACAATTACTGATTTTACTTACAAATGATGCTAAAATTTCACTTGTCTATTGTTTTCTAAAATTTTATTTCTTTCCATTTTTTTCTTTCACAGCTTTTGTTGAATCTTTTCAAAGTACAGCTAAATTAATTAATTTTCATGTTTTTTTTTCCATTTTAATAAATATTTTTGAAACAATACTTTTTTTTTTTTTTTAAGAACTACTCTGGCCAAAGTCCAAAGATCTTAATAGGTAGCATCTTTTTCATCATCACTCATTAAAAAGAAATGCTCTTATTGTATTTCTTAATCCTTCACAGCCCAACTATTATTAGAGTAGTATTTAAAATATTCCAAATCATTAGAGTTTTCGTTTGTGTTTTGCTTCTATTTTTGTTTTTAAATCCTATTGTCATTGTCTTGTGGTCAGAAAATGTGGCATAGAAATCCTCCTCCACTTTGGAGGGAATATACCAAATGCCTGAGTACAGGATACCTAAAGGACCATCATCCACAATAACATACGCTACGTTGTGTCCTGTGTACTAATAAAGTTTAAACATCTTTAAGCCTCTATAATTGAGGTCGATGAAATCATTGCCTCTGCTCAATTCTTAAATGGTACATAGTAACATCAAATTCTTAAACTCATGTAGTTCGATGTCAATTTTCGCTTGCAAACAAAGGTGAATATATCATATGCCAAAATGTGTAGCTAAATGAGATTGATCAATGGGGGAAAAGATATCTGCTAGAGATGAATTACACTACTGGATTTTATAAGGGTCACGATATCTCAATTCAGTAGGCAGAAACATTCCATTTCTTTAAAGCCAATTTTCAAATGTGCTAGCTATTTATGTCAAAATAAGGGCATGGTATTATTCCAGAGGTGTTTGAACTCAAGGCATTTTGAAGTGCCTTTATTAGTTTTTACTAACTAAATAAACAAACACATGAGGATTTTTTGGATGATCTTTTCTTTATAATATTTAGTCTAGTTCAGAAATAGCTTTGCAAACTGGTACAAAAAGATAGTCAAAGTGGGCCAACTGGGCTATCTAGGTGAACTCATTTCTCTTTAAAGTAATAAGACAACTGATCATACCCCGTTCCACCATATTAACTCATGTCAGAGTGAAGCTGGTCACTGGGTGATTTAACCCAAAGTGACACTGATACAGAAAATTTGATTAGCCAGAGGCCTGGAGTTGCAAGTCCTCAACTGAATTTTCATAAACTGACTATTGTTTCAAGATGTCATGCTACCTGACAGAGCAGCATCAAAAATTACTGAAATTCTTAAGCTTAACACTTTTTCCAGACCTTTTCTTTTCTTTTTTTTAAATAAGTGTGAGGTTTGGAAGCTTCTGAAAGGTCAGATAACCAAAGTCCTCTCCCCTGGCAAAAATAATCGCACATTCTTTCTGTTTAATTTAGGTAATAATGTACCTGAGGCACTGGCTGGTTGGAATTTCTGTCATGCATATTTCTACTTTGTCTGAATGCGTCACCTGCAATCTGTACTCTAAATTCAGCTTAGAAGTATGTTTATACCAAACCTCCAGACTACTAGTCCAGTGCTCTTCTTGCCAAATTAGGCAGCTTCAATCTACTTAAGGGCCTCATCCCTCCAATCTTAACTCATTACATTGAGAGGCGAGATACAATTCAGGTCCTATATAATCACCTCTACTTTTCACACAGACATCCACAGAGGAAAAATGACTTACCCCAGGATCACAGCTGGTACCTGAGCTAGAATTCAGGTTTTGCGATTCCTTGCCTAGTGCTCCTTTTACTAAAAGACATGCTGTCCCTAAGGGAACATCCTTAGTCATAGCTCAAGCCTTCCCCTGCTTGTTTTCATCCTCAGAGATCAACAAATCATCCCAAACTTTACCCCAAACGACCTGGACACATTTGCCCTCAAGCTGCCCCCATGGGCACTGCAGAAACAGGCTCCACGGGGTAGTGAGTGACCTGCGTTGGGCTGGTCAGTCTTTACCTTCAAACGCCCGTGCAGCATCCACGAGGTGAGACCAATCCAACCCCGTGGCCGTGTCTGGGAGGGGCATCAGGCCAGGGTCTGTGCACTTGGACTTATCTGATAGGGACCCATCGGAGAACCAGAACTCATCTAAATAAAACAAAGCCAGAGTGTCAGACAGATCATAAATACCATGTATCATCACCTTGGCCCCTCACAAAAGAGCTGAGGGAGCTCCTTTTAAAATATCTCCTGCCCCCAGCTAGGAGACACTGGGCTGCGATTACCAAAAACGTTGAAAAATCGAGGTTTTCTAAAAAGCAGCAAACTATGGTTATAGCAGTATCGACTTAGTATAAATGCACCAAGATTAATTTTGTTTTCATTATTAACAGACAAGAAACAGAATGATACTTTACATACTATGCACAAAAATCGTGAATGGAATACTTTTTTGATTTAATAAGATGGCTCTATAACTGGTTAAACCAGAAATCTCTCTCTATCCTGTATTTAAATGTTTGGCTGTACAAATGAATCTTTTATATTTCTTCTTCTCTGTAAACTCTTGTCACAGTCTTTTAAGAGTGTTCGTCATCAATAGCACTAGTTAAGAATTCATTATGCATTTAGGTGCTCATTTTCAAGAGGCTTCCATTGACTTTCTTTTACCTTGCATTTTCTGAACCTGGCCGAATGCTGCATGCAGCTGCTTGTGAAAACTAATTAATTAGACCAATCAAAATAATGACCACCTGGCCGTCTGAGCCTGCAATTAAGCTAAATAAGGGACATAATTAACGAAACGCACCTGTAATTTTTGTAGCCACATACTTTTGGGTCGCTGTGAAATGCTGGCATCTGGACTGAAATGGAGAGCGTTTGTAAATTTGGTCTTGCAAAGGACTAACAGTCTCCCACTGTCTTGACACCTTTCAAATGTAGCTCTTGGCAGATCTCTGGTAGTTGCAGCTACCAATCAAATCATTTTTTTTTTTTTTAACATTTTATTGTTTTAGGTGAAAGATTACACAGCAAATGAAGTTCCCATTTAACAATTTTTATATAAATTGTTCCATGACATTGGTTACATTTTTCACAATGTGTCAACATTCTCATTATTTCCATTCTGTTCCTTCTGTTACCATTAATTTACCTTCCCTGCCCCTCCTTAGCTTTTCATCTTTGTTTTAGGGTAAATGTTGACAGTTTGGTCTCATATAGTTGATTATTTAAGGGAGCACAGAATTCAAGGGCAATAGTTTATTTTATAAGCCAATCTATTATTTGGTTGAAAGGTGATCACCAGGAGTAGCTTCGTTCCAAGTTCAAAGGTTATCTTTTGGCAACAGTCTCGGGGGTTCCTCTACTCTGTCCAGTAAGTCTGGCTTTTTTTTAAGAATTTGAGTTTTGTTCTAGATTTTTCACACTTTCTAGCTAGGATTTTCTACTGTGTCCTTGGTCAGAATGGTTGGTAGTGGTAGCTGGGCACCATCTAGTTCTTCCGGTCTCAGGCTAGATAAGGCTGTGGTTCATGTGGGTTATGGGTCCTGGGTACTAGTTTCTTCTTTGAGTCTTTGGTTTCCTTCATTCTCTTTCGTTCCAATGAAGTAGAGACCAACAGTTGTATCTTAGATGGCCACTCGCACCTTTTAAGATCCCAGATGCTACTCACCAAACTAGAATGTAGAACATTATCGTTATGAACCATGCTATGCCAATTGACTGAGCTGTCCCACGAGACTATGGTCCCAAGCCTTCAAACCCAGTGAACCAATCCTGCAAGGTATTTGGTTATGTCTAGAAAGTGATCAGTAACTTTGTCACCTATGTGGTTTATTAAATATATGAATATATATGCAGCACACACAAACATATATACATATGCCTACAGGTACACCTATACACGTACACTCATACACTCACATGTGCCTTCCTATACACTTATATGAATACATATCTACCTATGTAACCACACATAATTTTTTTTGGTTATTATTGTTGCAAAATTGTATGTTATAGCATCTACTGACATTGGCCCTTATTCTTGCATACTTCTTAGTGTCTTCACTTACCTTGGACAAGCTGTGCAGACCTCACCCATATTGGGTATTGCCTTTCCCATCACCAAAAATAACAAGTGTCTACTATCCAGAAAGTGATTCTTCCTCCCTCTCCCTCCCAGCCCTGGTAAACGTCAAAGAACACTGCTTTCTGGGGGTATACCTATTGACTTTTTATAAAAGTGAGACCACACAATATTTCACCATACTTATTCAATCTGTATGCTGAGCAAGTAATCCAAGAAGCTGGACTATATGAAGAAGAACGGGGCATCAGGACTGAAGGAAGACTCATTAACAACCTGCGATACGCAGATGACACAACCTTGCTTGCTGAAAGTGAAGACGACTTGAAGTACTTACTGATGAAGATCAAAGACTACAGCCATCAGTATGGATTATACCTCAACATAAAGCAGACAGAAATCCTCACAACTGGACCAATGAGCAACATTATGATAAACAGAGAAAACATTGAAGCTGTCAAGGATTTCATTTTACTTGGATCTATAATCAACACCTACGGAAGTAGAAATCAAAAACCACATTGCATTGGGCAAATCTGCAAAAGACCTCTTTAAAGTGTTAAAAAGCAAAGATGTCACTTTAAGGACTAAGGTGGGTCTGACCCAAGTGTTTTCAATTGCCTCGTATGCATGCGAAACCTGGACGATGAATAAGGAAGACTGAAGAAGAAATGACACCTCTGAATTGCAGTGTTAGCAAAGAATATTGAATATACCGTGGACTGCCAAAAGAACAAACAAATCTACTTTGGAAGAAGTACAACCAGAATGCTCCTTAGAAGCAAGGACAGCAAGATTACCTTTCACATCCTTTGGATATGTTATCAGGAGGGACTAGTTCTTCCCCATTTAATGGACTTTGCCCTTTTGTCGAAGATCAGCTGCCCATAGATGGGTGGATTTAGTCCTGGGTTCAAATCAGTCTACTTTTAATATTATCATGTTTAGATGTTTCATTTAATTCCAATTTATTCCACCAGTCCCCATTTTGAAAGGAACATCAATAGTGTATATCACATCAGTAATATCTTTTCAGCATAATCCCTGCTCTCTTCCCTTTCCCTATTCTTTTCTTCTCTAAAATAACTGTTTCTGCCTCTAGCAACTTACTCGGAGTGTGAAGCCTTTGTCCTTGCCAAAAGGTAAACAAAGATTGAATTAAAGTACCATTGCTGGAGAGGGAGTCACGAAGTAGAAAAGACCTAGTATGCATTCCCTTCTGTCCTCTCCCCACAACCTCCACTGGAAAGGCAGCAAGTACAGGGAGCCCAGCCTCTACGGTGCTGAACAGGGGCTGGCGTTGAACCCACTCTTAGGTCTTTAACCAAAGGCATTTAAGATTCAAACCTCAAACCAGTAGGTCATGATCCCAGGGATCTTTAAACACTTATAAATTCTTCTTTCTAACAAACATGCTGCGTTGCTTAAAGTAGGTTTCCTGCACAATCTGTAAAGGAATTATTTAACTAGGTGGAAATTCTTTTGCCACTAATTTCTATGTACCTGAGCTCTTCAGAGAGCGGGGGTAAGAGTGTCACGGTTCTGTGAAGGTCGTAGAGGCCACAATGACTAAAGCCTGGTGTAAGCACTCTCCTCTTCCCCTCATTGGAGAGGGCAAGCATCAAGGAGGGGGAAATTATCCAGGTAAATGAATATTTCTACAGGAAGTACAGTCTATTAGTCACATTTTTTTAAAAGATGTCAACTTGAGGATTTTCTTTATTTTATAAAGAAATAACCCTTCCCTTGAGCTTCTGACATTCTTAAAGCTAAAACCCAGCCAACACATATTCTGGGTTCTGTCCGCTTTCTTCTCTAATGCCATTAAATAACAACGTCCTCATTGGCTCTAACGGGAGCCAGAAATTAAAAAAATAGAGAAGAGGGACTAAATGCAATCAGAACAAAGGGGATAGATGCAGTGTATTATAGACTGAATTGTGTCCCCCAAAATGTGGTTCAACTTGGCTAGGCCACGATTCCCAGTATTGTGTGATTTTCCTATGTGTTGTAAATCCTACCTCTGTGATGTTAATGAGGTGGGATAGGCAGCAGTTACGTTAATAAGGCAGGACTCAATCTGCAAGATTAGACTGTGTCTTGAACCACCTCTTTTGAGATACAAAAGAGAGACAGGAGCAGAGAGACATGGGGGACCTCATACTACCAAGCAAAAACAGCCAGAAGCACAAGTGTCCTTTGGACCTGGGGTCCCTGCACTGAGAAGCTCCTAGACCAGGGAAAGATAGATAACAAAGACCTTCTTCCAGAGCTTACAGAGAGAGAAAGCCTTCCCCGGGAGCTGGCACCTAAATTTGGACTTCCAGACTACTATACTATGAGATAATAAATCTCTGTCTATTAAAGCCATCCACTGTGGTATTTCTGTTATAGCAGCACTAGATAACTAAGGCAGGGTGCTACTAATGTCTCTTGCTTTCCCTTCCCCTTGATCTAGTTGTAGTTGTGTGCTCAAAAGTTGTATTCCCCCAACCGAGTATAAAAACAAAAACAAACCAAATCCACTGCTGTTGAGTTGATTCCGACTCATAGTGACCCTACAGGACAGAGCAGAACTGCTCCATATGGTTTCCAAGGAACGGCTGGTGGATTCAAACTGTTGACCTTTTGGTTAGCAGCTGTAGTACGCCATAGCTCTTAACCACTGCGCCACCAGGGCTCCCCAACCGAGCATACCAGTCTCTTAATTAAAATTCTGACTCTTCCTGAGCAGCCCTGAAGTTCCAAGACATGTGGCCATTCGTAATTTTGCCAAGGCTTAAATTTGAGTTTCAGAGGCTCAAAGGCTGATGGCCGAGAGTAGATCAGCTAGTGAGCATGCCCAGCTGTCCACAGCTCCACTGGCTCCGTGGTTCCCTGCTTGAGTCCTGTGCACATCTCCCACAGAGGCCATGCTAACGTGGCATTGATTACTCTGGGATCTATGAAGGTCTTAGGAGCTATATCTCACAACCAAAGGCAAGCCCAAGACACACCTCTAACCTCCTTCAATGTCTATGGAGAACCAAGGAAAAAGAGGGAGTACAGTTTGTGATACTTCTTCTTTATTACAAATATCATCTGCTCTTACTCAATTGTGAATAGAAATTTTGTCTATTTGACACCGCAGAACTGGCAAAGCTTAGTAGATTAGTAGAAGTCTCCTTTTCTTTAGAGTTTACTTGGAGTACTACTAACAGTGTATCTATGATGCATTTATTAGATGACTACTACATGCCAAGTGATGGGGAAACACAGTGGACAAGACAGACAAGGCCCTGCTCGCACAGACAGAGCTTACACGTTTGTGAGAGGGAAACAGGTAGGAAACAAAAAAACAAGTAAGTATAAGTAGAGGTAAGAGTTCTGAACAACATAAAAGAGAGTGAAGTGAGAGAGCAGCTTGATGGCATACTTGGATAAGGCCTGTCCAAGGAGGTGATACTTGAGCTGGGACCTGAACGATAAGAAGGAGCTGCTCAGTGAGGAGTACAGTTTGGGTATAAAAGCTCTGAAAAAAAGACAGACTAAATCTAAATCCATTATCTTTCAGTAAGCACGTAGGGTCTAGCATCAGTGACAATGATCTTAAGAGAAGTAAGATCCATCTATACTCCTCCCCGAATAATCAAAACAAAAAGCACACACACTTTACCACTGGTTGGCAAATCATGTAATTGGAAAAAACCAACTATCTTTTTGTTTGTGACTCCAAGCCACCAAAAAGCCTTTATAATAATTTTAAACTAATATTCAGGTGTCATGGCTATCTCCTGTTCATCTAGATGGTGTTTACTGAGACCTATTATCTTCTAGATGCTACATTAGAACCTAGGGATATAACAACAAGACACAGGTTCTGCTCCCAAGGAGCTCAGGACACAAGGAGATAAAATACTGTTCTGGTGGCTTGATGATAGGGGTTTGGATACATGCAGCGTAGACAGAGATAAGGAGTGAGTGATCACTTCTCAGCTCTCAATGCCTGTTATTTGAAACCCAGATCTCCCAAGCCTTGAGTTACATCGGGAGACCACACTGCTGTTTTGGCCAAGTCAGAAAAGAAAGAGCCCCTTTCAGTTGGTGAAGTAGATAGCTTCCCGGCAAGGCGGGAGCGCAGTGGTGTAAGCTCAGCAACCGGGAGGTTCACAGGCTCACCGACATGGAGTACTGTGACCTCCTCAGGAACATCACACTCCTCCAGCTGCGCTGCAGACTAGAAACCTAAACCAGCCATGCATGTACTATCACTCATGTCAAAGAAGATGAGACACTTGGTAAGTAGAAAAGAATACTAATCGCAATTGTTTGATCTCCATTAACCTTTCTGGGAGTTCTGAGAACGCGTTACAAAACAGGCTGGGAGGAGAGGACACTGTCCAATGAAACGCATTTCTATTGCACAAGTGCGGGCGAAGCTGCTCTAATCATCTTGGGGGAGGCTCCCGTTCTCGCCTCACAGTTCCTATTCATCAAGTCATGCACAGGCCTAACTCAGGTCAATTAAGAGACTAATGGGTTCTGAAAGATGGTTAATGTTGAGGCACCGCTGCCTGGACCTCCTACTTTCTGGACTGGGATATTGATCTGTGGCTTCCTGTTTGTTTACTGAGCCCAGAAATCACAGTAACCATCTTTATTGAATCTGACTTTCTTGTTAATATAATAAAATGCTGAGGTGGCTTCTGAAAGCCTTTCCCGGTGGTCACATATCTGAGGCCTCATAGTTACCCTCCAGAAACCAATGGATTATTTATTATAGGGGAGACTAAGAACGTTTGAAAAAAGAGGAAGGTGTGCTCTGCTGAATCAGTCACAGCCCTGCCTCAGATGGTGTTAGAGAGGAGGCCACAAATGCCCTCCACGATGCAAGCCTTACCTAGGAGGGTGTCCCTCACACACCCCACTGCTCTCCTCCAGGAGCCCTGACCGCTGGCGACATAAAACCTCTGAGCTGACGCCTCTGCTCTGCAGCATCTCACTCTGAGTACTAAATTATAAGGGAAACATTGATTTCTTTTTCTTATCCTAAAACTTCCTTTTTTTTTTAACTTTAAGGGACACCTTTGTGAGGTGCCCAGTTCAGAATGATAGGACTTGGGAGCACACCTAATACTCTGTTTTTATTCTTTGAAACAGAAGAACTCTTTCTCTTTAGTTTATCCTCATAGGAAGAGTCCCACCATACCTTGGAGTTTTTGATCCCCATTAAAAACAAAAAACAAAAAACAGCAATTATCTTTACACATGTTGGGAGCCTGCCAATGCTTGGGACTGTACTGGATAAATCCAGGTACCTAGTTTGCCAAGGAGGAAAAGGATACCATGGATGTTTTTCAATACCACCTGGAATCTGGTCTATGGACTATGTGTCCAAATGCTCCCCTACCCACATTTTTTTCCTATCTGGGCCACTGAAGAAATTTTATTCTGAAATCCACCAGTGATGGAAGCAGATAAATGTTCTAAATGAAATGCAGAAACAACATTTCAGAACAATTTTCAATTTCTGGATAAGATCTTATTTTTACACCTACAAGTTGAAGATATAATGATACAGCACATTTCAGTGACTTCACAGGAAATATATATGAATCATGACATGAATCATATTCAAACGTGCTTGTTAAGTATCTGTCTCACAAGGCTGGATTAACATCTTGATCTCAAAAAAAGAAATACGCTGAGACAGGTTCAAATCTGGGACTTTTATAAGCTAAAATATCTGAAAGAGAAGCCTGTGACTACAATAATTATATGTAAAAAAGGTACAGAGATTAGCTCTTTCAGTATTCATTGTGAAGGATATGCTGATCCTTTCCTCGTCCCGCCAAATTATAAAAAAGATCTGAGTAAGTACCTACTTACTGGTGAAAGATTCTCTCTTAGAAGATCAGATGCTTCCTAGGAATTCTCTAGCTTTAAATTTTAAAAGAAGAATCTGCATGTCTTCTGAGTTTTTTACCTAGCTCCACATAGCAAATTTAATCCCTCAATGCCAGAAGATTTGACAGAACTACCCTCTACTCCTAGTTTAAATATAAAGCCACATCTCTTTGAGAAACTCAGTCATCCAGCTGGGGAACTTCAAATAGTCCTCATTTCTCACGCGAAGACATCTGCTTGGCCTTAGTGTTCACATTTGAGCTTTCTGGTTGTCCCAGTTCCAGACTGTCAGATGACTTTCCAAGAGTCATACCTTCTTAGAGATGGTGTGCTGACTGACCAGAAACCATAGACAGCTGAGAATTAGCAAAATCAGTCTGGAGTAGATACAAAAGTAGCAATCACATAGGTGATTGTGGCAGTCATTAGACCATAAGAACTAGAGTCCTACAAATGACAACTTCCTTGAAGCGCATATGCTCCTGGGGGCAGGGTGGTGGGAATCAGAAGAAAGTTTTGAGGGGAACTGGCATCAATACAAATTATTTCCAATTCCCTTTTTTACATTTTGCCATCTCACTCACCAAACCCAGAGAATTTTTTGAGTAGTTACTTAGAGAACAGCAAACGGCAAGCACCACTCTCACTGCCTTCCCTGGAGAATTACACAACGAAAACAAGTAAGGTGGTTTTTAACCCAGATCGCGGATAAACAGTGCATTCTGCTTATGTCCTAACTGTGCATACTTTTAATACATTAAAGTATTACTTCCATCTATCACATGGAAGCAACATGAAGGTGGAATGTGAGAACTGCATTAACAAATACAATTAGTGATCTCACAATCACACTTCAAGCATTTTAAATGAACGAAATAACATTTGTAACACAGTTTTATTGGTTTTATAAAAGTTTTTAAGAGGACATTAAAGTTACCTATGTATAAAAAGGTGAAAATATTGAGGTATCATATGTCTGTCTAATCTTTCATATGGTTATCAAGAAAGAGTTCAAAGGTTTCTTCAATTTAGGTAAATGGACTCTTTATAAGAGGCAGGATATTATGTTACTTAAAGAAATAGATTAGGAATTTTTCAAGACAAGGTTTATTTCCAATTATGTTAAACATTGGAAACATTATTAGAATTATTTCATCTAGTATTGGACTTCTACGCGTATTATAAAGTTCGAATCGGTTCTAAAGATAACGCGTTCTATGATGAAGTTAAAAAAACAAACAAACTTGACAGTGCTACATTCCTGGTTAAATTTCTATTCTTCCTATACAACAGATAATAACCTGCTGCCATCAAGTCAACTCTGACTCATAGTGACCCTATGAAGACAGAGCAGAACTGCCCCACAGGGTTTCAAAGGCTGCAAATCTTTGCGGAAGCAGACTGCCATATCTTTCTCTGGAGGAGTGGCTGGTGGATTTGAGCCTCGTTAACCTCTTGGTTAACAGCAGCATGCTTTAGCCACTGCACGACCAGTAAATCTAACCAGTTTAAAATTGCCATTAAAAAGTCATATTTTAATAAGGAACTTACAATGTGTAAAGATCATATATTTTTTAGGATTTGAAGGAAAAATCTAAGGAGTGAATCAAGATACAGAAAATGTAAGTAACATGCACAAGGACATAAAGCCCCCTGCGAGTAAGCTGGTCTAAGACCCAGGCCTTCTGATTCCTGTCCACAACTTTCCCCCAGCACCAGGTATTTAATTTCAAAAACACAAAGAAATACAAAGCTAGAAAACTAAACTTTCCTCCTTGCCTGCTGCCCACTGGAAAATCCCCTTCCCTTCCCCTGGCTCCACAGATTTCTTTTTTTAAAATAGAGTTTTAGACATTTTTCTTTTAGATATAATAGCTGAGATATAGGATTTAGAACTGAATATTTAACTTTATAAAAATGTTTAATATGACCTTTTCAGTTTTCTTCAAAATGGGCAGGGTACTGCTTAACTTGTTCATTCTCGGGCTTTTATCATATTTGAAAATTACTGGAAAAACAAAAACAAAACACAAAACCTTCCTTCAAGACATGAAATCTGAAGAAGCCACTAAGGCACAGCGGCTATTCAGTTCAGCCCACACACTGGAAACTGGCCCTGGCAAGAGCATGCCGGCCCACTTACTTCTCAGGCTCCCCATGCTGGGCACAGGCTGGGTCCGGGGAGGCAGCGTGCTGTGGTAGGGTGGGGTGGTGCTGAAGAGAATGTCATTGGGCAGGGCTTGGTCAAGTATGGAACTTCGAGAACTGCCAAAGGAAGACCCTCTCCGATTACTGCAGATGCTCTCATCAGAGAGTGTGCGATACAGCGACCTTCTTGGAGATAGGTTCCCATAAAACGAAAACTAGGTGTGTTTAAACACAAGGGTAGGGGAGGGAGAGGAAAATATACGTTAAAAAACTAAAAACATGGGATTTATTTTACTAAAAACAGTGAGTTCTCATACTACTGTGATACCTTCTTTGAATTTTCCCCCAGGCAGGCATAAAGCATTAGCTTAGAAATATGGAGCAAGGCATGTGGCTGCTTCAAGGCAAATGCACTGGAGCTTCAGTGTGGTGACTGGATTTTAATGTTTTCCTCCTTTGACATTCTGTGAAATATTATCATGAATTAGACATGCACAGCTTTATTAATTCTGAAATGTTAAATGGAACCTCCATGACCTTATTAACGGTGACGGCTCCTGGAAATATATAAGGTTGCCATTTCAGGCAATAGATAGTCACATAGTGCTAGCTTGACTGTAATTTGAAATGACTATATTTTAATATTAGGTCATTTTTTTGTACCAATCAACTGCATGTCAGGTTCAAGCTAATTAAAATAATAATAAAACTAATTTTGAACACTGCAGCTTCCTCGGCCCTATAAAACAGGTTCAAGAAAAATGGTATCAGTCCAGTAAAATCTTATTGCCTGCTTAAGATTAAAACTTGAAAAACTCTGTATTACAATGGTTGAAAACTGACTTACAGTAATTGATCATAACCAGATTTAATGGAACCATTAAAATACTGTGTGTTAATCACAGGCAGCATCAGGATAATTGTTACTAAAGAAGCAAGTTGTCAAAGACTCAAGAAAAAGTAAATCAAATTTGAATTCCCAACTACCTCCTCTGCATATTGAGTCACATTCCTTTCACATAAACAATAGTAAAAGCAGGAATGCTCACATCAAACAAATATAGAAATGGCTATTTACATTTGTGAATGCAGCAAGAAGGCTAAAAATATGTCTATTGTATGTGTTCCTTCCATTCTGCCAAGGCTTCCCGACTGATGAACGGTACTCAGATGTGTGTGAACTGCAAAGTTAAATTTACACCATGAAAAGAAGGTGATTTATCTTAGAAGAAAACAAAACACATGCCAAGGAGAAGTTCATTCCTATTAAAAGAAAAGCCATTTACACTTTTTGTACGAGTCTGCCTTTGCACCCAAATTTATACAATACCATGTACATGATTTGATACACGTTTAAAAAGAAGACTCATTAAGTTTTTATGGGATTCCCTCTTCACACATGACCAGCAGGCCCTTTAGAACATGGTTATAAGCATATTAGATTAAAGCAGCTTTGAGGTAGTATCTAATTAGAGTGTTATTATAAGAATACAATTAGGTTAATTGCAGCATTGTTTTGTTATAGGGAAGACAAAAGCACAAAGACTTGCTTTTACCCTGATCACAGTCAATGTGGCAATGTCTTATTTTTACTTTACTTTTTCTTTTTCACTTGAACAAGAGGAGCACTGAATGAGAAGTAAGACTATCTGAATTCTGCTCCTGTTGCTGCCGTGACATACTTGTGAGTTAATATTTTACCATCTGGGGACTCAGTTACCTGCAAAAAGAGACTGGGCTAAATAACCTGTAAAGCTGCTTTTAATACTTTCTAAGTGGCTTAATGGTCCAGTAATAATGAAACTAAAAATAATACTAACCATCAGTACTTTAACAAATGACCACTGCATGGTGACTGAAGAAGGCATGCCACTGAACATGAGGCTGCTTTACAAACTTAATGCATGGCCTTTCACGGTGGCCTCTGCATACTTTCACACAGCAGAGTGCATGCCCCATAACTATAATGACCCGGAGGCAGAATCATATGAATTCCAGTCCACTTCTGGAATAGGATTACATCTAAGGCAGGGCAGCCTACAGCAGAGGATAGAGTTCTGGATCAAAAAGCAGGTGGCCTGAGTTGAAGTGTTACTACAGGGAACTGGTTTAGAATATTTTTTACAGTTGTTATTTACTGATCACCAATTATGATCAGGTCCTGTACTAGGTTCTTCACATGTTATTTCTTTTCTTCACTGTATCTCTGCAATACAGTATCTCCATCTTTTAGATGAGGACAACTGAGGCAGAAGGGGGAAGTAACTTGCATAAGGTACCACAACTAATAATTGTTGGAACCTGGATTTGAGGCTTGCTCCACCTAAATTTAAAACTCTGTGATATCTTATCAGTGATATGCTGCTTCCTTATAAAATAAATTTAAAAACGACCAGTGATGCCAGTCCCACAGAGTGGGTGGTGTAAGGGTCAAGAGAGATAATGCATATGGAAGTACTCTGGGAACTCTCAGACTGTGCTGGCCTTTTCTTCTTTTTCTTTTTGGTGTTTCTGGTAACTCCAAAGCCCCACAAAAGTAGCTAACCTTTCTTCTCCCCTCCTCCACTAAGGGGCTGTCAGGAAGCATCAATTTCAGGAAATCTTCTTTTGACAGAACATGTGGAGTTTCTGAAACGGCATCTCCTGCCACCGTCTGATGCTGACTTGCTGTCGACATGGTATCCATTTCACTATACATTCTGTTGAAATGAATCAGAACTGCAATTAAGAGGTTTGGTTAGCTTATTTGTAAAGTGCCTATAATACTATGAATTAAAATCTAGCAACCAGTTTCAACAGCCACATACACATACAGTTTTTAATTATTTAGTCAGTTCACTTTTGCTGCATTTGCTCCAAATCCCCATGCCTTCTTGCATTTGTGAAATGAGTTCAACTGCAAAGTCAGAATTCTGAATAATTCAGAAACAAATCAGATCCCCAAAGCCCAGGATGTGAAGAAAATATAGCCAGCTCTTAAAATAAGGCTGTGTTTTCCGTTTCCTAACCTGAGTCAGAAAATGCAGTTTCAATAATTCATCAGGGATCATACGTCTTTTGAAACAACCCTGGTGCTTCTCAGATATGTGAGTGCGCCTTTCTCTTGAGGCTGGACAACCAGACCCCACACCTCACCCTGGAAACACAGAGTCACCTGAGGGAGAGGCCTGGAGTTTAAGAGTAATCAATCCAAGCGTGTGCCAAGCATGTTTTATTATCAGCAATTTCACAAAGCTGTTTGGATAAACAAAGCAGCTGTCTCCCTTAATTATCAGTGTATAAAAATGTATTTATGGACAACAAAAGACTGTCAAGCTGAATTACTGTTTTCAGCTCTTTTCCAGGGAGGAAACCGGGGGTCATTTTAAAAAGGTTTATTATGAAAATGCAATCTGAGCAACCAACCTTCCTAGAGACCGAGTGAATGATCAGGGGCCATACTGCCCGTAGAGGCACGCTGCACTGAAGCGGAACACTCCGGTAATGTGTGTCACCAGCAGCAAGCCACAGAAGATGACCCCCATGTTCTCGTATGCCATGGAGGTGGCTTCATTTCAAAAGCCAGGCTATCCTGCCACAGTGTGACACTTCACTGGGAAACGGTTAGAAGAAACCGCACAGACATGCTCACAGTTAAGAATGCTTTATCTGAAAGTCTCTGTGATTTCTGCTTTGTTCTTGAGGGGGAGCAGGCTTTCTTACACTGCTCAGTTCTGGAAGCACAGCCAATGCTGACAACATGAACAAGCAGCTTCTGTGAAAAGAAGCTTTTAAAAACTCAAAAAGTTACTAAAGATTTGGATTGCTTGGGGGATACATGACATTAAAATGGTAGCTACCAGGAGGCCAAGGTCCTGGAGGGCCTCTGCACGAAAGCCACCTAAGGAACGCTGCAATGTAAAGTTTATGAAGAGTGCATCCACGAAGTGCCCCAAAGCCCAGGTCCTATTTTTGGGAAACCAACAAGTCTGTGATGGTTAATGTTATGTTTCACCCTAGGTAGGCTACGATTCTCAGTGGTTTGGCAGGCACGATGTAATCACCTTCCATCTTGTGATCTGATGTGAGCAGCCAATCAGCTGAAGGGGAGTTTCCTTGGAGGTGTGGCCTGCCTCCAGTATATAAATGGATGTTCTGGCGAAGCTCTCTCTCTCTTTCTTGACCCTGCACTCTTCTCGTCACCTGACCTCTGTATCTTGGTACGTAAGCCTGCAGAAGTCTCTGCTGCCTGACCCGCAGGTTTTGGATTTGTCAGCCTCCTCAACTGCATGAGCCAGCAGAGGCCTCCAGCCTGCCACCTGATCTGCAGATTTTGGGTTCATAAGCTTTGAAACCATGTGAGATAGCAGAGGTCTTCAGTCTGTTGCCAGCCCCCACAACTGTGTGAGCTGTTTCCTTGAAGTAACTTTCTCTCTATATATATTTATATACACTTCACTAGTTTTGCTCTGCTAGAGAAACCTGACTAAGACAAGGTACTACTATTAACTGATTAGATAAAAAGATTATAGCTATTATTATTATTATTATTAAAATATGTTAGTCTAGCTTCTCTATGTGTTTGAATAAAAACCACTTGCCTTCTCTGCTAAATTATTTATTTTTAACAACTACCAAATGACGTGTCATAAATGGGCTCTGAGGGCTTCCCTGGGATGTCCCTAGTCAGGTATGTGGGCTGGTGGAACAGCACGGGGACAGGCCGTGGAAAATCACAGGCAATTACAGTGCCATGCGAGAGTGCAGAGGATGCAGGAAGACTTCATCTCAGGATGGTGTGGCCGGGCTCAGAAACTCAGGAAGGGCATCTAAGCAGAGGGAACAGCAAAAATGGAAACAGAGGCCTGAGACAGAACTGCTCTTTTCGGGCAACAAAAATAGAGCTGTTAGGAAGTATAGGGGTTGAGGTGGCCAGAGATGAGGCTTGGAAGTAGGAATGGGACAAATCCTGAAGGATGCTGTATTCCATACTAAGAGATTTAGCTGTAACCCTGAGGATACTAGAGCTTAGAAGCGTTACAAATAGAGAAGCAAACGTGCTTTGGACATTAAAAGGAAGTAGAAAGTGGATGGAGGGGCTGGAATCAAGGTGGGGGACCAATTAGGGTACCCAAGCAACAGCCCAGGGCAGAGATAGTCAGGACCTATGATGGCAGAGCTACAAAGAGATGGAGAGGTGGTAATTGGGTTTAAGGAGGTAGGATCAGTAAGACTTGGGAAAAACAGTGTGAGACAGTAAGGTCAGAGTGTTGGACAGATCACAGATTTCTGACCAATTAGACAGTAAAACCACTTAAACAGAATACTGAAGAAGGTGTAGATTTTAAGAGGATACAAAAGAGTTCCTCAGAACATTTAAACACAAACTGGGAAAAGTGCAACTAAAAACTGGCATTATCCTTTTATAATCAATGCCAATTTAATATAGGGAATAACAGGCCCGAGAACTGCTCACAGTATACTGCAGTTAGTCATCTGCGTGCTTTTTGTCCCACCCTCAGACTGGGTATTCCTGTAAACAGGGACTGGAACTTGATTGGTTTTGTATCGCTAATGCCTAGTGTAACTTTTCACATGTGGTAAATATGAACATTCAAGGGTTGCTGAATAAATAAATTAATAACTAGTTCTTGTAAATGGCATTTTAAAATATGAGATATTATTAATAAAAATAATCAAGGAGAGTTCTATAATATTACTTTAAAGAAATAACTGGTCATTTCTCGGTTATGTCAAACTTCTCCTATAGGGCAGAAATGATTTTATATTTTGTGCCTCATAAGACACTGTTGTTGTTGGGTGCCGTCGAGTTACTTTTGACTCATAGTGGCCCCATGTGACAGAGGATAACTGCCTCAAAAGGTTTTCTAGGCTGTAATCTTTATGGAAGCAGACCACCAGGTCTTTCTCCTGTGGAGCTGCTGGGTGGGTTCAAACTGCCAACCCTAATTCTAAATGTTACAAACACATAGTATTTGGTGTTGATCGTTTCTAAGCATATCTTCCAGCGATTTGCTTATTACATTATTTGGACAAAATTTCAAATGCAGTTAGTGCAGTCCTGTATGACTGCAGCGGCTACATATTCATCACTTCTGCATCATCTCAAGTGTCTTCTGGTTTTAGAAACACTGGATATGGCTTGGGATGCCTCCTACAGATAGGCGTGGCAGGCAGACAGCCCTGGCCTGAGACGTGGAAGACCCGTGAACGAGTCTCAGCACTAACCAAGTGTGATCATAGAAATAACTGCTCTGAGCTCAAAGCATCCTCCATAAAACCGGGGGTGGGACTGAGTGACTTCTAAGGCCTCTCCACTCCGATGTGTGCCTTGAAGACGTGCAGGACCCTGTCACCTGCTCCCAGCATCCTAAGGGTCTGCCAGAATCTCGAGGTCAGTGTCTTCAACAGAAACACTCCCTCCTTTTTTTTTTTACATTTCACAATTATTACTTTGTATTTCTTTATTTTACTTTTTCTACACAAATTGTGCAGTGACATTGGTTACATTTTCTACAATGCATCAACATTCTCTTTAATTGCATTCTGGTTGTTTCATTTCCAGGGATCTAGTTTCCCTGTGCCCTTATGTTCTCATCTTTGCTTCAGAGTAATTGTTGACCTTTCGGTCTCATAGAGATGGTCTTTTAATGGACCACTGTACTCACAGGAAATATCCTTTATTTTGTATGCCAATCTGCTATTTCACTAAAAGGTGACCTCAGGGGATAGTTTCAGTTCACACTCCCTTTTGTGATTCACCCCTGGCAGGCTCACATATTGAAACCTGGAGACTCAAGCCCATTTCTCACAATATTCCAGACTTTGTCTTTCTTTTACTTAAAAGTCAGTGTAATAAAACCTGCATGATAAAATGCTTAAGTTCTGGGTCCTCAAGTGAAAAATGTCCAAAACAGCTCCTTCCACACTTTGCTGACTCTCAAACAGGGCCCTTCTTCTTACCTAGTGCTTACACCTCTGTACAAAATGCTTCTAAAACTTTAAGACATGGAGTCATTTTTTAAAAGAAAAAGTAATACTAGTTTACTGACCAACCTCAAAATCTAGAAGAGGTATCGTTGCACATGTGTACACACACACACATATGGGTACGCACAACCCCCCACGTGCATCTGAGGATACCACTGTACATGCAGGCACACTACAACACAATGACCTGACAATTTGTCCTTGAAAAAAATAAGCAAAGCAACAGCTAAATAAGCTCTGTCCTGCCTAAAGAATATGATTACTTTTCTCTTTATGGAGCCATCAGTATCGTTTTCACAAGCATTATAAAATGGGTTAGCAGTATTTTTTTCCTCAAACAAATACAAAGCATCCCTTCCTGCCTGCCACCAAAAACCTAACAAGAGAACGGGAAATCAAAGTCATTGGAAAATGAAGTAAAATATTTTTCTTTTTATGGTGTCATTTACACAGCAATTTTCAGAAACAACCTGACTATATGGGAATTCAAACTGTCTCTGAACTTGTCTATTTACAGAGACGCTACATTCATACCATTAATACATTAATTTTAATTACATTAATACACACAATTTACATTATATGACTTTTCTACTGCAGGCAGCTTTCTGAACATAACAAAAACAAAGACTTAATTTTTACGTGAAACTCAAGGAAACAGAAGACTTTTAAAGAGAAATACAAATGGCAGCATTTAAAGAGTTTTTAAAAAAGATATTTCTAGATTATTCCTTTTTAGTTAATGCATTTCCCTTGGGGGAAAGCACATTTGCGGAGTCAATCCTCCAAACGTATAACTTTGCCTAGAGAAGAACAAGCAGACGCTTACCCCTGGCACTCAGTCACCTCGGGCTCCTCAGGTGGTGGGCTGCCTTCTGACTTCTTCCAACCGATGACATACTTGCTTACTGCTCCTTGTCTGTGGTAGGGCTTGGACACTGACCCAGGAGCCTGTTGACTGCTACTGTGGGACACAATGTAGACCTTGGATGTATCCAGAGACCCACTATTTTTGGAACAGTGAGCTGAAGGGCTTCCTGAATGGTGTGAACCACTGAGGAGAAAAACAGACAAAAGCTGCAATACAATCCGATCTCAGCTGGGCTGGCACACATCCAAGTTCAGAGTCATAGTGGTTTACTCCTCTCCTTCTCTGTGAGCAAACTCAGGGCGGCGTGAAGTGGGCACAATCTTCTTTTGTACACATGCACCTGGTTAGAATGTCTTACTTTACACAGTCTAGGTAAGCACATGTGTAAGCTGTATACTCATGGTAAGAAGGATATTAAAACTGTAGTCTGTGGAAATCTAATAGAAAAACGCACAACATACTTAAACTGATGCTTCAAAAGAGAGGGAGCCCCACTAGTCAATAAACATAAGAAAAGATGCTCAACCTCAGCTGTCATCAGGGAAACCAAACCAAAATCAAACCTGTTGCCATCCAGTCAACTCCGACTCATAGCGACCTTACAGGACAGAGTAAAACTGTTCCATAGGATTTCCAAGGAGCAGCTGGTGGACTCATACTACTGACCTATTGGTTAGCAGCTGAGCTCTTAACCACTGTGCCACCAAGGCTCTATCATGAGGGAAAGGTCAAGCTAAACCACACGGTGAAATACCATTACTACCCACCAGACTGGCAAACGTGGAAACGTACGACCATACCCAGTGTTAGCAAGAATCTGGAGCGATGGTTATTCTCCTCCTGCTGGGGGGAGTTTAAAGTGCGCAAAGCAGCTTGGAAAACAGTTTGGGTATTACCTGATGAAGATTTGCACTTGCATACTGTATGATCCAGCAATTCCACTCCTAAGTGTATGCCCTAGATTATGTCGAACATGATTTTGTTTTTTAAAATAAAGTTCACAAACAGGCAAAACTAAACAATATATTGTTCATGAATATACAGACACTACACATACTAAGCTATAAAGAAAAGCAAGGGAATGATTATCACAAAAGTCAGGTTAGTGGCTACCTGTAGGGAGAAGGAAAGTGGTTATAATAGGGCAGGACTTCGAGAGTTCACAAGCCCCAGCCGTGTTCTAGCCTTAACCTGGGGGTGATCTCTGTAGTATTATACAATTATTACACAACAACAAAATATTTAAGAAGCTGGAATTATTAAAAATAATAAAACATTGAAAATGCCAGTGGATAAGCTCAAGTCAGTGGATAAGCTGCACTGGCTGACTTAGGAATTAGCTGGACTGCATGCCCACCCCTAGAAGTTTAAAAGCCTACAGATCTTTTTAAATTCAGGGGGGATCAACAATATAATGTTTTATGAAAAACGAGTAAAAATAGAGATTAAGAATTACTTTCCAAATATGAAATTTTTTAACAGGGTTTAAATTACAGTTCTTATGTCAGAGCTTAGAAATGTAGGTGAGCTTCACTTTCAGAAAACTCGGCACACAAGAGCACTGTGAAGATTCTGGCCAGACTGCCAGGGGTCCTTGCTCCAATACCAGTGTGCAAGGCCCTCAGTTTTCTCATCTGTAAAATGGGGATAATTAACAGTATCTACCTCATATGGTTGTTCTGAAGAGTACATGAGTTAATATTCGTAAAGCACTTAGAACAGTGCCTGGCACAGGGTGAAGCATTATATAAATGTAGTTCATTTTTTAAAAGTGATGCATGAAAGGATTATTCACAAGTAGAAGTCCTTGCTATTCGAAAGAGTTTACCACAGGGTTCCTCAAGAAGCTAGCTCCTCTGGTACAATGAAATATAATTTTATCTGGAAACTTCTGATTAGCATATACCTTGTCTGAAGAGCCTACTTATAAAGCAAGTATCACACAACGGAGGAAGTAAAAACAAGTCTAAAATTAAGAATGATATCAAAATAGACTTCTTATATAGGTTCAAAAGGACAATAAGGAAACAAAATAAACTGACCCATCTTTGGGTCTTTATATGTTGGAGAAATTTTTTTAAAAATTAAAAATAAAAGTTTAAATATAAATGAAAAAACAATCACTCAACAACAAAACCAAACACCTCATCTATTTCCATGAAGTAACTCAGTTGCTGTCAGTAGGTCTGATGTCCCTTGAGTGGGAACTCTCTGGGTTTCAGCACTCTGGGCTCTCAGCCACGATCCCAACAATGTCTGCACAGGTCGAACACCAGCTTAGTGGAATAATGAAGCAAAGTCTTTGGAGTAAACTAAGGAATAAGCAAGGAATAAATGAGGCCCGGAAAGAGAGAGCTAACTAACCTGTTGCCATGGAGTCCATTCCAACTCATAGCGACCCTGAAGAACAGAGAAGAACTGCCCCATAGGGTTTACAAGGCTGTAATCTTTATGGAAGCAGACCGCCACATCTTTATCCCATGGAGTGGCTGGTAGGTTTGAACTGTTGACCTTTCGGTTAGCAATGGAGCACTTTAACCATTATGCAACCAGAGCTCCTTTTAGGGAGATAACTAACTGTTTCCAGTTATGGGGAGGCATACCAGTTAATAAACTCCTAACATAAAACCTCATATCTAGATAATGTGTTCTCAAGGCCTATTTTTCCGAAACTTCTTAATTTAAAAAAATTTCAGACTTACAGAAAAGGTACAAGAACAGATTAAACATCCATCTACCCTTTGTCTAGATTCATTAATTGTTAATATTATGCTATAAATGCTTTATTTCTCTCTCTCTATATTCCTCTCTGAACTATTTGAGAATTAGTTGCCAGCATTATGACATTGTACCCTTGTATTTCAGCATGCATTTCCTAAGAATAATGACATTTTCCTACATAGTAGCAATATAATTATCACATTCAGGCATTAATACAATACTATTATCTAATATACAGTCCATATTCTAATTTCCCAATGATCCCAATGCGTATAGCTTTTGTTTCCCTCATTTAGAATCCAATTAACGGTCATGCACTGCATTTAGTTACCATGTGCAGCATGTATTGAAAAACCTTAGATAATCACCAAGAAGTCTCATATTTAGATTTAAATGATACATATTCCTGCCAAGGTTATCACATGACTGAAATATCTTACCTGGTACTGAAAAAGCCCAAAGGAAGGCAACCCCCTGAATAACACCCTCTTTAAGTTTTTTTATTTTTTTATCCAAAAATGAAAAGTCTGGGGTATTCAAAGTCATGGTATAATTAATATGATGCATTTGTGTAGGAGACTCACATTTCTCCCCCGATATAATGGAATTGAACATTTTTGAGAAGGTGTACTGAATAATGACAGCATAATTGCAAACCCTATGCATTTTTCCATGTTTTATAAAAGATACTTTTCTAATCCAAACTTGATTAAAAATATCTTACCCCAATTAATGCATTTTAAAGCTAACTCTAAGAAGAAATTTACCGAGTCCATTTGATGAGCAATATACTAGCACAAATCTGTGCTTGGTAGCAGTAACTTCAATATATATGTTTTCTCTGAAGCTGGTAAACACTCAAGAATGTTGGTAATAAATACTTTTTATAAATCCTTTTACTTCTACAATAAAGTTCTTATTTTAGAGTTACATTGCCAACTCTCAATCATTTGTACTGAGAGTAAGATGATATGATAATTACATGGGCAATTTACAAGAAAATCCAGAACATGAGGTTTTTTTTTTTTTTCCCGCAGTTGATTTATTTCACTTTGCAAAATCTTGGTTAGGCTAATATGAATACTCTTTGTATTGTGAGCTCTGCTCTAAGTGCTCTGCCCACGCAGGAAGAAAAAAAATGTTTGCTAAATTAAAAGCACTGAGCAACAGGAGGAAGCAGGCAGGCTAGATATAAGTTTGTTCTTCTTAATGGATGATTCCTGGAACTCCACCTCTGGTTTTTCTCACACCAGCACAGTTTGTCATAAAGAGCTTTAAGTGTTTAGTATAATTGTACCATATACACAATTTATGCTTACTTTATTCCCAGATGGCGGTCAGGCAGCACATGTGTTGAGCTGGGGCTGGGGGGTGGCGGTGGTGAAACAGCACAATTAGAAAAGTTAAGAGTAGATCATATATTGATCTGGGCTCCTGTAACTGTGAGTTAGGAACAGCAGATCCCTGTGAACATCCCTTATATTTCTCCGGGCTATCCAAAAAAACCAAAAAAACAAACCTGTTGTTGTCAAGTGAATTCTGACTCATAGCAACCCTATAGGTCAGAGGAGAACTGCCCCATAGGGTTTCCAAGGCTGTAATCTTTACAGAAGCAGACTGCCACATCTTTCTCCCATGGAGTGGCTGTTGGGTTTGAACTGCCGATCTTTCGGTTAGCAGCTCAGTGCTTAACCACTGTACCACCAGGGCTTCTAGGCTACGCAGGCCCCAGTTTATTAACTCCATCATTAAGTATTCATTGAGCACTCTTATTTTTGTTCCTTCTTTCACTCATCAAATATCCAAGTACCTACTATGTGCAAGGAGTCCTTGGATGGCAAACAGTTAATGTGCACGGTGGTAACTTAAAGGATGAAAGTTTGAGTCTACCCAGAGGTGCCTCAGAAGAAAGGCCAGGCGATCTACTTGGGAAACATCAGTCATTGAAAACCCTACGGAGCACAGTTCTACTCTGACACACACAGGGTCATTATGAGTTGGAATCGACTCGATAGCAACTGGAACTGAACTGGAACCATATGCAAGGCACCATCCTAAGTGCTGGCATTACAAATGTAAATAAGACGGGTAGAGTCCCTATTAGCCTCAAAACACAGACACTCCAGTGAGAGGAAGGCCGCCTGCATTCTTGTGGAAGGTGACAGGCAAAAAGCCCAAATAAACAATCTGAGGCAGGGTAAGTGCTCTGAGAAGATGCCTTGAGGTTAGGTATGACTTCAACTGGGCTGGTTAGCACAGATGGCAGCCCCTAGTAGAGTGTCTCTGTTTTTCTCCTCCTTGAGCTACTCCCTGGTCACAACCTGGACTTGGGGATGGGCCTCAGCTCCAAAGTGACAGGCACATCATCTGAACTCAAAGAGGAGAGGAGAGTATGGAGCTGATTTACATGCCGGCATGTCCATCCCCCTTCTGGACACCGCCATTTCAGAGTTTACAGAATCTTAGCGTGACTCGATTGGCTGGCCCCTTATGTTCCAATTAGTGAAGTTTCTTTTACCTCAACGCACAGAAAACAAGGTAAATAGTTTAATTCTTATTTCCTTGAGTGTACCTGTACAGGTGGAGGAGAAGTACTAAGAAGATTCGATGCAATGACTGAAGTTCATACTGAGCAAAAAGCCTACAATGCAAGTTGGAAACTGTGACTTCAAAGTCATCATCAACTAAGAATTACAAGTAAAAGGCAGCCAAGCGGTAAAGGGCTCCTCCACTCACTCAACATGTATCATTTTCCACAACAGCTGTGCACACATTCAATTTAAAGTGGTGGGGAAAAATACATAATCAATCAGAAATTCAATCTAGCACTTTTATATACTATCTATTAGTCTAACCCATTAAATTAACAAACGGTTAAGGTATTCAAGAAAATCTACTTCAAATGCCTATAAATATCCCTGCCTCTATTTACAAATGAGTGCACTCTGAAAGCAGTTCCCACAGAAATTTTACTTCATAGTAACGTAAAATTCTCTTTGTGATGCCAATTAGATTTGTCTAACAAGGTATCTGTCATGAAATCAGCTGTTTTACAAAAGCTTATAAACTTTATAAAATCCCCAAATGGTTTTTACAGTATTGTCAATTTTCAACTGTCCCTGAAATTAAGATAGGAGTAATTTAGGTAATCAAAGTCACTGATAATCCTTAAATGTTATTTTAGCTATTTACTACTACACTTATTTTAAGTCAGATTATTAAATGAACTGGTAAAAAAGTAGTAGGAACGACTATTTTGAAAATAATCTCTATATCCTATGCTTCTTCTAGCCCAGCTGAAGAAGACCAACTATGTGGTGGTCATTTATAATTTGGCATCCACTCCTTCTTCTGGTAAAACAACACCCTGTGTTTCTTCTGGGCAAGCACTATCTTCACCATTCGTCAGCCGAAGAGCTTGGTAGGATGGACCCCGGCCCCCAAAGGAGGGCCCTGGTCGATGGACTCTGTGAAGTAAGGGGCTATGTGAGGCAGAGGGGGAGGTGTGAGGGTAGTGTTGGCCTTAGACGCAGGTGGGAGGGGGAACTTAAAGGAGCACAGAGAAGCCTTAAGCTCCTCATTTGGAGAAATGATCCTGTTAAGGTATCAGGTAACTAGGAGGATATCCCCATTATTAGTTCATCCAACTCTGTCCTCCAATATTTAAAGAGTTCTGTGGGAAAAAAAGTCAGATAGTAACTCAGAACTGAATCAGGGAAGGCCTTGGTGACAAGAAGGAAAATGGTAGCGCATGTGGTGTGCAGGAGTTAAATTCTGGACACAGCCAAACCTGAATAAACGTATTTCTTGCCTAGACTTTATGTGAAATTGAAGGCAAGAATCACAAATGATTAGTTTCAAAACCACTGTACAGACATATGCCAAATATTAGTTTAAAAGCAGTCAAGACCATATATTAAATATCTACACTTAGAATACAGTGTCTTTAAATTTAGTCTTTATTTTAAAAATATCAAACTGTCAATCTCAACACTTTTTTTTAGCCTTGCTTTTTTTTTTTGTACTTTAGATGAAGATTTACAGAACAAATAGTGTCTTATTAAACAGTCAGTACACATATTGTTTTATGACATTGGTAGCAACACACTCTTACTGTTATACAGAAGACCTCAAGTCTTCCTTTCTTCTAATGAGGGCCTTACAGACAGAAAAGAACTGTGCGTGTTCCTTTATTGCAGGAGCTACACACATACACAATACCAATGCTATCCCTAATTACTGCTCACTATAACCTGAGTATTATCCCGCAGAGTTCATTGGGAGAGGGAGAAAAGTGGCCTGACTAGAGCAATTGCTATCTCTGTTTAGTCCTCACTCACATTTAAAGCAAGAGAAAGGAAAGTAAAATCACATACAGGTGAATTTATTAACAAGCAAACTTTCACAATTAGATTTTAGAAACAAGCACATCATCTGAAGTCAGGCAACCAGGTGATAACCTAGCTCTTGCTCATGCCGCCAGTACTCAGGCCCCGCCTAAGACATTGACTCAGTTGGCCTTGAAAATACTCCCATCTCCACCCTGGCTGGTGAGAGAAGCCCAGGGCTGTGTACAGCAAGTGCTCACCTGGAATGAGAAGATACCTCGCTGAGGTCGCCCATGCTGCCTTCGGCAGTGTTGCTCACGGAAATGGCGGAGGCGTAGTTATGAACTGCATACATTTTCACTTGCTCGCCATCAGGCCCAGAGATGTCTCCAGAGTCAGCCCACTGCTCTGCCCGGCTGTGGATCATGGACCTGCTGCCTGTCAGGTGCAGCGGGCCAAGGATTGAAGTGGGCATGCAGGGGGTCGTGTCGATACCACTGTCCGTGGAAGCTCCTTTAATGTAGGTTAATCCGAGCAGTTCCGGGTCCATCAGGTCTCCAGACCCAAAGTGTTTATCATCGCTGTTGCTGGAGGTGTTACTGGAGAGTGTATTGCTGCTGGAATGACTTGAGCAACTTTTATCTCCAATCTTAAGAAGAAAGAGAAACAAAAAGCCTTCAAATAGATCCCATACTTTGCTTCCTTATAAAGACTATTTTTCTCATCCAGACTCACAAAACTATAAACCAAATGATCTCATCTAAACCCTTACTAGCCACTCACTCTTCAATGTAAAGCAGAGGTAGAATTCACTTTGTATGCAAAAGTCCATGATTCATAATTCCTCCCATAATATATCGTAAGTGGGTATTTTCCCTTTTAAAGTCTTTGTTGAGCTATTCATGCATGAAGCGCAAAAATCTTGCCACAGTGTCACTAACCAGAAAATAATCAACAAACGTTATCTAAACTGGGAAAGCATAGGGATAACTAATAAAAGGAGGACAGCATCCTGTTACTGAGAAAATGCTTCTGTAACTAATTACAGTGTCAGTACCGAGCTTGGGTCAGAAGACCTGGGTCTGACTCACAGTGGTAGGACTCTGGGTCGGTCACTTAACCCCCTCCCTGTGCTTATAATACTGAGCTTACATGATTAATGTGTGAAACAAACGAGATAATATATGCAAGAACACTTTGCTGCTGCAAAGCATAATATAAGCATGAGGTATCTCTCTATGAGAGACTCATCAAATTATGTGCCAAATGTTAAAGAGCTAGGACTCCCTTTAGAGTAAATAGGTCTGAAAAACAGTTAAGTGATCTGGGGTCCCTAGAAGACAAAAAGCAAACAGAATGAATGTTCTAGTCTGTCCACTGTGCTCACACAGACTCAGTCCCTCTTCATAGCCTGGGAAACGAACAAGACCTGCAGCAATTAGCAAAGAGCTGAGGAATACTGAAAACAAGCCCCTGGCCTATTTGAATGTGGTTTGAACTTTTCTTCTTTTGTTTTCTCCTATCAGATCCTTAAGCAAACGTCCTTGAACTTTTAATCACACATCAATATTCTCAAGTCTACCACCTCCTCCTACCTCCCTCTGCTTAAACTACTGTTAGAGATTTTTACCAGCAGGATTTAAAATGGATACTGTAAGGCTAACTCAAGAAAAGGTACAGGCTATAGGCAAGGGAAGAAATGTAGCTTATGTTGGCTAACCGGCAACTAGAAAACTCTCCAATGCCACATTAAGGAACAGGAAAGAAACAACTTGGATCAGGAACTTACAAAATTTCTTTAAAATAACTTTAAAATGTTGACTATATATGGCAGCAATCAACAATTCCTGTTTCCAAGTTTAAGTGAAAGTTTTGTTTCATTAAGTCCACCTATGAAGCCCACCTCCTAGGACAGTTGGAAGGAATAAACCAAACATGCAGAGGCCTGGCAGGGATGTGCCAGGCAACGTTCTCATACCGCACACATGCTGGCTGCTGCCCCATCACTAGGAATCGCCTGCGACTGTGCATGAAGTACCCACCTAGCAGCAGAGCACCTCTGACCACACACCACTGCACAGTGACCTCCTCTGCATTATGCCCTTAAATGGATACACGGTTAACAGGTAAAAAAAACATGATTTAGTAGCTACAACATTGGATGTCAAGGATCAAAAGGCTGACGATATAATCTTGGCTTTGCCATTAATTTGCAGTGTGACCTTTCTTTGAGGTTCTTTATAAATCAGGGGTAAGGGGGAGGAGGAATTTAACTCTATTTTTTTTTTTTTTTTTTAACCTCCCTCACCTCTAAGAGACCTGGAAGGTTAAGTGACATGAGAATCCCTGGCAATAATGCTACACTAGTGATGTGTGTTGAGATGCATTAGTCCTGGCTAAATGAGCGATTAGTTTAAGAGCAAAAGACTTACATGAGAAAGCTTATTAGGGGAATCTTTGCAACTTCCATCTTTCTGCAGCGCTCTTTCTTTATAGGAACTCAGAACTTTGGAAGGTGGACCGTGCCATTTGGTTTCTGTTGCATAAGGAGAGAAGAGTTGAATGTCTAATTTCTAATGTTAACAAAAAAGTAAAGAAACACAGGAATCAAACAAACGATTTCAGGCTTGTGGTTCTAGGACTTTCTGGTCTTACCAATGGATAGGTCTTAAGAGTACACATCAATGCTATAAAGTTCATGTCCTGTTCCCACAGCTACATCAGCTACCACCAACCACAGATACGTCCCCTACTACAGAGGGAGATGAGTTTATTATCACCTCAGCATGTGGCACTGAGGTGCTGCTCCCTGAAAACGTGTTGAATGAATGTATGGAAAAAAAGTCACGTGCAGGACGAAGAGAAGGAGGTGGGGAGGGAGGGATGTGGAAGGAAGATTTCTCCCCGTGGAGTTCTGTATTACCAGGGTGCCTGCTTCCTTCCATGATGTCCTCCCGCTCCCTGGCGCCTTCACACTCCAGAGGGCCTGAGCCCTGGTGGTCAAGCAGCAGAGGAGACTGGCACCTGGAAAGAAACATGAAGTTGAGCCTCCCTGCTCACTACACCATCCCACCAGCATGATCACTGTGTTTTTTGGCTTCTAAATCAGCAGTGTTGTCTTCTAGCAAATGGAAAGTGCAGTATCTGTCAGCTCAGCCCTGCCAGAGTCACTAATGCATGTGAAATTGGGGGATCCAGTTTCATCAAAGGGTCAGTAAAGGCACTCGGATGACAGATAAAGAAATCCTGCTGACTCCATGAGGATAAAGGCTATCCCCCCCAGGCCAAGGCAGAGTAAATCGTTTTCTTCTTCTTCTGTCTACTAGCGTGGCTCTGATACTTCTTTATAGTAAACTTTTTAAGGAATACAAAATATAATAGATTGGCTCTAGACTGCATCCAACTGGGCATTGTTGTATGAAAACTCAAAATATAAAAATACAATCTTACAGATGAAATAAATCAAAGAATTCTTATTCACATTACAAAGTCATTCTTTGGTTTACAGAAAAAGCCAGGCAAATCTTTCCATTTACACAAAAAGTCCTCTCTACTTTTTAAATTACTACTTAATTTAGAAAAATCACTTTACATACAACCATTAAGAAATTCATCTACTACATAAGGTGGATAACATACACAACTCAGACTACAAGTATCTAATTCTAAACCCAAACCGGGAGAGAAATTTCCCTCTGCACACGTGAAATCAGAAACAGAAAGCTTCTCTTCTCACACTGACATTCTTCCAAGGCTGGACACAGTCATTCTCTAGTCTAAACATTCCCATCCCGCTCCTTTAAAGCCATGGAGGCTCGACTCCGTTGCAAAGCAACACTCCAAACACTGCTGCTAGGAGCAATGACTACTCCCCAGAAAAGTAGGCCGCACAAGCATTTGCTCTTTCTTCCCTGAAAGGTATTAATGTTTTCTCTGAGTTATTACCATCAGTCAGTTCGGCTGTCACTATGTTCACAAGGAACCTTTGGCTCTGCTGGAGCTGCCTCTTGGAAACCACGCGCACATTACAAGGGAGAATTCAGAGTCAAACCTTCCAGGAAAATTTCTTCTCAAAAAGGCGGCAAAAACAATGTGTTAAATGCTTACAGTGTCACACACTACATCTGCTCTCTCTGATTCTGAATGGTGTCTTGGAGAAAAGGCACTTCTAAGAGAGCCTGTGAGTTCATTCTTCCTTAGCAATTTAAGTGAGTGAAAAACTCCCAAAGGTCACTGCCCACAGAGCCCCCTAGATCCTTAACTTTCACATTTAAGAAAACCTTTGCTTTTTACTACAAAGAAAAAAGAAAAAAAAATTGGCTCAGGATACAGATGAATGAGTGCTTCCTAAAACAAAGAAATAACGAGCTTTCTAATCTGGATAAATTATTTGACCGAAAGCCATGCCTGGCATTTTCATAGTCCCCAAATTGCCTTGTATATGGTATAAACGCTTTTCAAAGTAATCAGGGAAGCATGCTACTCCCCGAGGACGGCAATAAGATAAAAGGGACGGTACCCGTCATATGCCACTTGCTGTCTCCAGTGGCCACCGCCGGCGCCGGGCCCTGGGTCGCTGGAGGATGACTGGTTGCTGGGCGAACTTCTGCAATGTTGACCAGAGTCATTAACAGTGCACTGAGGGGTCTGTGGAGGGTCAACATCTTGACCTGGCCTGTTTTGTTTTACAAATAAATTCATTTTTACAATGACAAAAAATAAAAAATGGAAGAAATATGCATTTCAAGGTGAAACAGAATAAATCATGGATAAACTAAGTCAATCATACTGTGAGATACTGGGTGGTTTATGAATGGCAGTTTATTAAAAGAAAGGGTTGTGGGCAGGAAAGAGCCTTCACCATCTAAAGATTTAAACCTCAGATAATGATTCTAGTGAAATATGGAGGAATCCCAATGCAACCCCCAGGAATACAGCATTATGCAAACATTACTACTTCTTGTTATATGATACTTAACCGAAGTCACATTTTGGTTCTATACTTAACCATATGCAGAGAGAAAAATCTAAATTTGGCAAAAATCATTCATTTTCACACATCCATAGAATGCAACCCTATTCATCTTTTTTTCAGACACAAAATTGAGTAAAATTTAAGAACTCATTTGATGAAAGTACGCTTGCCAAGTTTCCCTTTTGCTACTAGATTCCTCCTGTTTTTTTTTTCTTTAATTTACTAAGTTCTACTTCAATATGGGAGGTTCTGCAGACTGTCTCCCTTCTGCATGTTACCTGCTGCATGGCCAGCCCATTAACCTGGGCTACCTGTGTGTGTTGTTTTGAATATGGGAGGTTTACAAACTTCGTGGAGCCCTGGTGGCACAGGGGTTAAGAGCTCAGCTACTAACCAAAAGGTCAGCAGTTAAATATACCAGCTGCTCCTTGGAAACCCTATGGGCAGTTCTACTCTGTCCTACAGGGTTGCTAAGAGTCAGAATTGACAGCAACAAGTTTGGTTTTTTGGTTCTTTTTTTTAATAAACTCAGTAGATCTTTGAGCAGGGAGACTCAGAGCAAAGATGGGTCAATTAAAATGTCAAATTAAAACTGGATCACTCTAGAAGTATGAGAAGCAGAAGATTACCACATTTTTAATCTTATCAATTAATTATGATTAATACTTATACACCTACCCTTCACTTATTGATTATCTCATTATCTGACATTTCACATTTATGACAATAGTAAAAATCTGCTATTTTGCACATTAACAACATACATCTGGCAGTAACGAACTGACATGCAAGGTGAGAGTAACACTGGCTATGATGGTTAAGCTTATGTGTCAGCTTGGCTGGGCCATGATTCTCAGTGGTTTGGCAGTTATGTTAATGATGTAATTTGGCAGTTATGTAATGATGTAACCATCCTCCATTTTGTGATCTGATGTGGTCATCCCCCATTTTTGCACATTGCAGATTTTTGCACAATGACCTGGTCTTCGGAACATAACCACGTCGGTAAGTTAGGAGTGGGTGTATAGGCTTACTATGTGCTAGGTATGGCTTTAAGCATTTTATATATATTAATTCATTAATCCTCATAAGGCCCACTGAGGTCTGTATCATTACCATCTTTATTTTAGATGAGGAAATTGGAGGCACACAGAGCACAAGTTACTGGCCTCTGGTAACACATCAACTAAGTGGAGAGCTGGAACTCAAACCCAGGCTACCTGGCTCACAGCACTATATCAGACCAGAGCCTGGCAAACTGCTTTGAGAAAACTCACGGTATGTCTATGGCATGTCAGTTATGGGAAGGCTAAAATAAACAGGAGTAGGAATGAACAACAATAAAACATTTATTTTGTTCACTTGAAATGACCTATTGAACTTATGCATCCAAAAATTCTCACCAGCTTCTAAATAAGTGCATTCTTTCACTGAAAAATTTAATTTTAAACTAACCCCTACTTTGTTTAAAGTGAGAGACAAAATTAAAGAAGAAATGCTAATAATGTTAGAATCTCCTAAATACATACATACATTATGATAGTGGGAATGAGTCATTGATTTTGCAGGGACAGTTTTATTTATATGCAAAATTATGCTTATCTGGAGGTACATGCAGCTTAATTCCTGGATCACCTTTTTCAAGGTTGTTTAGAGCAAATTGGCCAGAGGAACAAGAAGAGAAGGAACAACCATTCCCCTGGTAGGTTGGGATGTGCATAGGGTCTGCATTTTATCCAGAGCCATTGCTAAGCCAGGAGAAAGATGGACCCAACCCACTGAGTCTGGAGCCTGCACAGCCATCCTGCCTGCCAACTTTCTCAGAACAAGTGACTTAGAAATGGTTAAGCTAAATAAAAAGTCCCTCCATACAATTCAAGTTCTTAACCCCAGCATATTACAAGAGCTGTCTCTGAAGAAGTGACAGGGGTCCCCGGATAGGAATCAGCATTAATTACCTCGTGCCATCAGGCAGCTTCCGGTCGAACGAGGTGCTGCGAGGGATGGCTGCCTGCGCCTGCTGGAGGAGCTGCTGGCACTGTAGCCGGTCAGGCGTGCCGGGCACAGGGGAAGCTCTGGAGAGGGGCTGCACAGCGGCAGGGGTGGGTACCCGGTGCCAGGTGGTGTTCCTCCTGAAGGGTGTCTTGTACTCACATGGCGTGCCTTCACTGTCCAGTTTGTATTCCACCATGGGGATGCGGCAGAGCTCTGAGCACCCTCTGTGGGCAGTAAGAGATGGTGAGAAGGGATAACACAGCTAAGCCATGCACATGGCTTCCTCAAGGCCACGCCTGAGCAGTGCCTGCCAACATGTGTGACAGACACTGTGAGGTTCTCGAGTTCTAAGGAGCCTCTCCCTAGAATAAAAAATCTTTCCTTGACTATTGAGGGAATAGTCTGAATCATTATTGCCATGGGTTGAACTGTGCACCCCAAAAATGTGTGTCAACTTGATTAGTCCATGATTCCCGGTATTGTGCAATTGTCCACCATTTTGTCATCTGATGTGATTTTCCTGTGTGTTGTAAATTCTGTCTCTATGATGTGATGAGATGGGGTTAGCAGCAGTTATGTCAATGAGGCAGGACTCAATCTACAAGATTAGGTTGTGTCTTAAGCCAATCTCATAAAGAGAGAAGCGAGCAGAGACATGGTGACCTCATACCACTAAGAAAGCAGTGCTGGGAGCAGAGCGCGTCCTTTGGACTCAGGGTCCCTGCGCCTGAGAAGCTCCTAGACCAGGGGAAGATTGATGACGAGGACCTTCCCCCAGAGCCGACAAAGAGAGAAAGCCTTCCCTGGAGCTGACACCCTGAATTCGGACTTCTAGCCTACTAGACTGTAAGAGAATAAACATCTATTTGTTGAAGACATCCACTTGCGGTATTTCTTTTATAGGAACACTAGATAACTAAGACAATCATCATCGTCTGCAGGCAATTACTGTGGTCAGAAACTAAAAAGGCCTTTAGCCTGACTGCTAGGTAGCCTCATACATCCTAGTACTGGTGAACTAGGTAGGGACACCCGTGCTGATAGGGCTTCACTGCTTATTAAAATGCTGAAATACAAAGGGTAAAGAGCTACAGTCCCCAGGCCTGTGTCCTCCCCCGCCTCCCTATCCCAGCTTTGCCCTCCAGTAAGAAACTAAAAGGATTAACACCTGGCACAAGAGAGGTCTCCAGGATTCTGCAGGTTGTTAAATATTATAAATACACTTCTGGACATAACAAGTAATGTAATTAGAAATCAAAGCCAGAACCAAAACTGCACTCCTGGTCTCCAGTCTCCAAATTCCTGGTGTCTGCCTAAAAAGAGATCCTACAAATCAAGACACCCGCAACTAATGATATCAACTTTTATGGATGACAGAAATGTTCCTTACCTGTCTGTGTGAAAACTCATCAAACTGTATGCATTGTATATGTGCTGCTTACTGTATGTCAATTATGCCTCAGTGAAGTTGTAAAAAAAAAAAATATCTTATTAGGTAGGAAGAGAAAAGCTTCCTTCTTCTTGAAGCCTGATTCTTCAAGAAAGCTTTTGGTAAACGAAGTGTAATAGAAGACCAGTCCACTTAGTGACCAAAAGAATTGGGCAATGTCTGAAGCCCTATCTAATGTACTTTACCCACAGTGTTTACAATGCTGGGGTTGGCAGATTCTAATTGGTTTGTGTTTGTAATCTCTTCCTCCTCCTCACAAATCCTGTTTGAGATTTATCTTCCTAAAGACTCTCAGTGTCTCCTTACTGCCTCTGAGATACACTCTCTGTGCCCGTGCCTGACACCACCTTTCCAGTGCACTTCCCTCCATTCCTGGAGTGTCATCCTGTCCAACACAGGAGCTCCAGCCATGTGTGTGCCACATGGAGCACTGACAATGTGGCTAGTGGAAAGCAGAACTGGATTGTATTTAATTTTAATTAATTTGATAGCTGATACTCAATCCATTTTTTCAAAAGTATGTTTGCAGCAACTTGGGTATGGAAATCTACCTTTTCAACTGTAAATTTCATGAAACCTACAAACATACCAAGTATTTTGGATGACAACTTAGCATCTGAATTGAGATATGCTATAAATGTAAAATAGGCACTGGATTTTGAAGACCTAATACAAAAATATGTAAAATATCTCACTAAATTTTTTTATATTAACGGCATACTGAAATGATAATGCTTTGGAGATATTAACTTAAAATATATTATTAAAAACAATTGTACATGTTTCTTTTTCTTTTTAAATGGCTACTAGAAGAAGATTCAGAGTTAAACACTTCTATTGGACAGCACTGCTTAGAGGAACTCGCTGCTCAACAACTGGGCCTGCACACAGTTCCTTGCATGTGTCCAGTCTTCTCCCAATTAGCTGGCCCACCCCCACCTCCATCCCAGCAATCATATCTCCCAGTTTGGCCTAGTCTCAGCTCAAATCCCACCTTTTCCATAAGATTTGCTGACTCTGCTAAACAGCATAAAGGCCAGCCAGCCTCTGTGCAAGTTTAAACAAAGACATGTACTCTGGGTAGGTTCTCCGGGGGACACAGGCTCATGGGCAGAGGAGAGCCAGCTGGATCCTGGCGACACTGACTTCTGTGGCCAGGTGCCTTAATGTACACAAACCATATGACTGCAGGGAGTAGCCTTGTCCCTAGCTGATGGTGACCTTACTTCCTTTCATCATGTCTGCTGCTTTTGGCTCTGGTTAATTGGCAGATTTGGGCATTTCATCTGTATCTCTTCAGGTAGTTTGCAAACTTAGAAGGACAACAATATATCTTGAACCAATTTGCATGCACAAATCAAGCACACTGAACACAGGCAACTGATACATTTTAGTAGATTAAAAAAATGCTTCGTCTAACTTTGGGTGAAGGGTAAAACAGTACACAGTACTGGGGGCATGAGCACAACTTGTACAAGGAAAGGTCATGGAAACTCCATAGACACATCCAAACTCCTTGAGGGACCGAACTGTTGGGCTGAGAGCTGTGGGGACCATGATCTCGGGGAACATCTAGCTCAACTGGCATAATACAGTTTATAAAGAAAATGTTTTACTTTCATGAGTAGCGTCTGGAGTCTTAAAAGCCTGTGAGCGGCCATCTAAGATACTCTACTGGTTTCACCCCTTCAGGAGCAAGGAAGAATGAAGAAAACAAAAGATACACAAGGGAAAGATTAGTCCAAAGGACTAATGGACCACAACTACCACGGCCTCCACCAGACTAAGTCCAGTACAACTAGACTGGCTACCACCACCGACTGCTCTGACAGGGATCACAACAGAGGGTCCCGGACAGAGCTGAAGAAAAATGTAGAACAAAATTCTAACTCACAAAAAAAGACCAGACTTACTGGCCTGACAGAGACTGGAAAAACCCTGAGAGTATGGTCCTCGGACACCCTTCCAACTCACTAATGAAGTCCCTCCTGAGGTTCACCCTTCATCCAAAGATTTGACAGGCCCATAAAACAAAACAAGGCTAAAGGGGCACACCAGCCCAGGGGCAAGGACTAGAAGGCAGGAGGGGACAGGAAAGCTGGTAACGGGGAATCCAAGGTTGAGAAGGGAGTGTTGACATGTCGTGGGGTTGTTAACCAATGTCATAAAACAATACGTGTATTGTTTAATGAAAAGCTAGTTTGTTCTGTAAACCTTCACCTAAATTTCAATTAAAAAAAAATTAAATTTAAGAAAAACATCCATTCCTCCCCGCCCACAAAATAATAATAATAATAATAAAATCTTAAGCCTTAAACCAAAAATACTCCCTGTCATGGATTGAATTGTGACCCCCAAAAATGTGTGTCAACTTGGCTAGGTCATGATTCCCAGTACTGTATGATTGTCTACCATTTTGTCATCTGATGTGATTTCCCTGTGTGTTGAAATCCTATCACTATTATGTAATGAGATGGATTAGTGGCAGTTACATTGATGAGATCTACAGATCAGATAGTGTCTTAAACCCAACCTCTTTTGAGATTTAAAAGAGAGAAGCGTGCAGAGAGACATGGGGACCTCATACCACCAAAAAAGCAGTGCCAGGAGCAGAGCGTGTCCTTTGGACCTGAGGTTCCTGCGCTGATATGCTCCCAGACCAAAGGAAGATTGATGACAAGCACCTTCCTCCAGAGACGAGAGAGAGAAGAAAGCACTCCCCTGGAGCCGGCGCCCTGAATTTCGTCTTCTAGTCTACTGGACTGTGAGAGAATAAACTTCTTTTTGTTAAAGCCATCCACTTGTGGTATTTCTGTTACAGCAGCACTAGATGACTAAGACACTCCTAGAAGTCTTCTTTACACCAAACAATAGTTTAGCTTGACTAGTAAAGAATGTCTGCCTTGAGCACTGTGCTCTTTTAAGAACTATCTGTGATGATGTCACTTTGAAGACTAAAGTGCGCCTGACCCAAGCCATGGTGTTTTCACTCACATCATATGTATGCGAATGCTGGACAACGAATAAGGAAGATTGGAGAAGAACTGACACCTCCGAATTATGGTGTTGGCGAAGAATATTCAATATACCACAGATTGCCAAAAGAACGAACAAATCTGTCTTGGAAGAAGTACAACCAGAATGCTCCTTAGAAGCAAGGATACTTTGGACATGTTATCAGGAGGGATCAGTCCCTGGAGAAGGAAATCATGCTTAGTAAGGTACAGGGTCAGCGAAAAACAGGAAGACCTTCAATGAGATAGACTGACACAGTGGCTGCAACAATAGGTTCAAGGATAACAATGACTGAACATGGCGCAGGACCCAGCAGTGTTTCGTTCTATAATACGTAGGGTCACTATGAGTTGGAACTGACTCGACGGCACCTAACAACAACATGACAGGATCAAACTGACAACAGTAACTCAAAAGATTAGATAGAAAACTTAGGGGACAGTGAGTTTATGTGAATGGGGGAAGAACAGTTTGAAAAAGGAGGGTTAGGATGGTTACACAATATGAAGAATGTAATCAGTGTCACTGAATTGTATGTGCAGAAATTGTTGAATTGGTGTGTGTTCTGCTGTACATATTCTCAATGACAACAAAAAATAAAAAAATGCTTCATCTATAATCTGAACAGATACTTTAATCTACAGTTACATAATCAAGAATTAGAGTCACAAGTCACTTGTTCACTATGTCTGAGAAAAATGAAAAGAAAATGAGTATAGGCTGCCACAGTGAAGGGAAAACCTGAGTGTCCATCATACC